GAAGGTGACATAAGTCACTGTAGTCCAGAGTTAATATGAGTCTGTCATGGAGATATTGCAAGCCATAGCAAATAGGGCAAGCAAGCTCCTCACCAAACACTACATAATGGCCTCATCACCGCAGAAGCTATATTGTCAACAGGATAATTATCATAATTAATAAGATGCAACTTAAAACCAACAAGCGAATTATCTATTTTCAAGTTTAACCCGCTCTTTTTCTAAAAGGGCTTTTTCAAGTATGCGGTTGACGCCATCATAGTTACTTCCATAGCAGAAAGGAATGAACAAAAATAGAATATGTACATACATACATACGTAAATATGTGGGTACATGCGTACATACATATATACGCAAGGTTATCGATAGTGGATAGCGTCGCGTAGCGGTGAGGCATCGCTAAGGCTATTTGTGGCTATTACGATAAAATAGCGGTAAAAAACGCAAAATCAAATAGCGGTCTAATTTAGATATGTGTAAATACTAAAAAGATTAAAAAATCTATAAAATCTATAAGTGCATAATTAATGATTTAAAGAGATCCTAAACATGACATAGACATATAATCGTCACATAATACCAAAGACGACTGGAGAAGTCAAAGAGTCATCGTCTTCGAGAAGGTGAGCTGAGTGATGAGAGGATTGTCATAGGAGGAGCTCACGGTGAAGGAGGTAAGAGGAAGTGCTGAGTTAGGTGCCAGATGCTATGAGAGGCGGCGGGAGCACGCTAAAAATCGCGGGAGGCGGTGGAATGCGGTGGTTAAAGGTTGGGTTTAATTTTAAAAAAATAAATCCCAACTGCTTTTAAATAGCAGTCAAAAAGTAAATTTTGCACACAACCGCCCGCTATTTAGGACGTTATTGGCCGTTTTTGTGAACGAAAAACACATATTCCACAATATGTCACCGCTATTGGGCGATAGCGTGGTGAGAAGGGACCACTAACGCTATTAGCGCCGCTATTACGGGGCTATTTACCACTATTTATAACAGTGTATATACGCATGCAGACACGTCCGCCCATCCGCCTATCTGCCCGCCCGCCCAC